GTATAGAGAGAGACTAATCATATGTAAGAAGTAGTGTGTGAGAAATTACATGCGGGTGAGCAGAGTAATGAAGAGATCTAAGGTTCCAAACTCTGTGATAAAGTAGTTCTCTGAAAGGATTGGGACATAAATCATAATGTGATAATAGTAAAATTTTGTGATAATGCAATCAATTAGCTGGAATAGCTCAGTTGGTTAGAGCGTGTGGCTGTTAACCACAAGGTCGGAGGTTCAACCCCTCCTTCTAGCGAATAATTTTTCTTATTGCACCTATACGCGAGAAAACGATACCTAAGATACCAATTGAATTCGAATTAAGCTCATCGGAGGTTCAACCCCTCCTTCTAGCGAATAATTTTTCTTATTGCACCTATACGCGAGAAAACGATACCTAAGATACCAATTGAATTCGAATTAAGCTCAACTTACGCTAATGTCTTCCGCACTAATACCCGAATTCTACATCGACAAAGTATGGGAGGGATCTATATATAGTTCATAAGTAAGAACCCAACCTTAACATTTTTTTCTTATTGCACCTATACGCGAGAAAATGATACGTAAGATATCAATTGAATTCGAATTAAGCTCAACTTACGCTAATGTCTTCCGCACTAATACCCGAATTCTACATCGACAAAGTATGGGAGGGATCTATATATAGTCCATAAGTAAGAACCCAACCTTAACATTTTTTTCTTATTGCACCTATACGCGAGAAAACGATACGTAAGATATCAATTGAATTCGAATTAAGCTCAACTTACGCTAATGTCTTCCACACTAATGCCCAAATTCTACATCGACAAAGTACGGGAGGGATCTATAGTTAATAAGTAAGAACACAACCTTAACATTTTTTTCTTATTGCACCTATACGCGAGAAAACGATACGTAAGATATCAATTGACCTCCTTCTAGCGAACATTTTTTCTTATTGCACCTATACGGCAGAAAACGACACCTAAGATACAAATTGAATTCGAATTAAGCTCAACTTACGCTAATGTCTTCCACACTAATACCCGAATTTTACATCGACAAAGTACGGAAGGGATCTATAGTTCATAAGTGAGAACCCAACCTTAACATTTTTTTCTTATTGCACCTATATGCGAGAAAACGATACGTAAGATATCAATTGAATTCGAATTAAGCTCAACTTACTCTAATGTCTTCCACACTAATACCCAAATTCTACATCGACAAAGTACGGGAGGGATCTATAGTTCATAAGTAAGAACCCAACCTTAACATTTTTTTCTTATTGCATCTATACGCGAGAAAACGATACGTAAGATATCAATTGACCTCCTTCTAGCGAACATTTTTTCTTATTGCACTTATACGCGAGAAAACGACACCTAAGATACCAATTGAATTCGAATTAAGCTCAACTTACGCCAATGTCTTCCACACTACTACCCGAATTTTACATTGACAAAGTACGGGAGGGATCTATAGTTCATAAGTAAGAACCCAACCTTAACATTTTTTCTTATTGCACTTATACGCGAGAAAACGATACGTAAGATATCAATTGAATTCGAATTAAGCTCAACTTACTCTAATGTCTTCCACACTAATACCCAAATTCTACATCGACAAAGTACGGGAGGGATCTATAGTTCATAAGTAAGAACCCAACCTTAACATTTTTTTCTTATTGCACCTATACGCGAGAAAACGATACGTAAGATATCAATTGACCTCCTTCTAGCGAACATTTTTTCTTATTGCACCTATACGCGAGAAAACGATACCTAAGATACCAATTGAATTCGAATTAAGCTCAACTTACGCTAATGTCTTCCACACTAATACCCGAATTTTACATTGACAAAGTACAGGAGGGATCTATAGTTCATAAGTAAGAACCCAACCTTAACATTTTTTCTTATTGTACCTATATGCGAGAAAACGATACGTAAGATATCAATTGAATTCAAATTAAGCTCAACTTACTCTAATGTCTTCCACACTAATACCCAAATTCTACATCGACAAAGTACGGGAGGGATCTATAGTTCATAAGTAAGAACCCAACCTTAACATTTTTTTCTTATAGCACCTATACGCGATAAAAAGATACGTAAGATATCATTTGACCTCCTTCTAGCGAACATTTTTTCTTATTGCACCTATACGCGAGAAAACGATACCTAAGATACAAATTGAATTCGAATTAAGCTCAAATTACGCTAATGTCTTCCACACTAATACCCGAATTTTACATCGACAAAGTACGGGATGGATCTATAGTTCATAAGTAAGAACCCAACCTTAACATTTTTTCTTATTGCACCTATACGCGAGAAAACGATATGTAAGATATCAATTGAATTCGAATTAAGCTCAACTTACTCTAATGTCTTCCACACTAATACCCAAATTCTACATCGACAAAGTACGGGAGGGACCTACAGTTCATAAGTAAGAACCCAACCTTAACATTTTTTTTCTTATTGCACCTATACGCGAGAAAAGCTCAACTTACGCTAATGTCTTCCACACTAATACCCGAATTCTACATCGGCAAAGTACGGGAGGGATCTATAGTTCATAAGTAAGAACTCAACCTTAACAAGCAAGACGCGTTTTGGGGTGAAATGGAGGGTTAATTGCAAGGTTGGTCACTGTATTTACTAAAAACATTCATGTTTGGTCACTGAAAATATTTAATTCCATTCGTGGTCACTAAGATTAGTCAAGTGTTTCAAATTTGGTCACTCTCCGTCCAACTCCGTTAGTTTTGTCTGATGTGGCAGTCAACTCTCAAAGTTGACCGTTAACAGAGTGACGTGACAATTAAAAAATAATAAATAAAATAAAATTTAATCTTTTACAATTCCAGCTCATTTTCACAATAAAGTAGAATAATTAAAACATAAAAAAATTTATTATAAATTCCAGATGTAAATCCGCTCGCCTCCGCTTCAGCGCGCCGCCCCGCTCCCACTTTCATCTCGCCGATTGATTTCTGGGTTCACAGAAGCCTCCTTCGAGAAGCCCAAATTGTAATCAACTTTCCCCAGTACGTCATTCCTTTCCCCACACCAAGTCATTATATTGAGCCTCCATCTTAACACATATTCAAACTAATTAAGCTAATTGATCTTATGTTATTATGATTATGTGTGTGACAATGGTCGGGGAGGAGAGGAGCCCGGAGCCCAAACCGCGGTGGAATCCGAAGCCGGAGCAGATCATAATCCTCGAGTCAATCTTCAACTCCCAGATGGTCAACCCTCACCGGACGAGATTCGCAAGATCCGCCTCCAACTGCAGGAGTTCGGCCAGGTGGGCGACGCCAATGTCTTCTACTGGTTCCAGCCGCAACCACCGAACCCAATCTCCCTCCTCCAAACCACTCTCCACTGCCACAGATCAAACGATCGAACGATCGAGAAGTTGGTATCGACGGGGTGGGCTTCTCGATTTGGCGATTTGGCAAAGGAGGAGGCTTCGGAAACCTAGAAATTAATCGGCGAGATGAAAGTGGGAGCAAAGGCGACGCGGAGGTGGGCGGATTTCAATTTGGAAATTATAATAATTTTTTCTGTTTTAATTATTCTGCTTTATTATTATGAAAATGAGTTGGAAACGGTAAAATATTAAATTTTGTTTTATTAATTATTTTTTAATTGCCACGTCACTCAGTTAACGGTTAACTTTGAGAGTTGACTGCCACATCAGACAAAACTAACGGGGTTGGACGGAGAGTGACCAAATTTGAAACACTTGACTAATCTTAGTGACCACGAATGGAATTAAATATTTTCGGTGACCAAACATGAACGTTTTTAGTAAATACAGTGACCAACCTTGCAATTAACCCGTGAAATGGAAGAGTTCCTATGAGAATTCCAAAGTAAAACATGCTCGTTGTGGAGTGCTGCAAGGATGAGTGACCTTATGGGAAGTCACCTTGATATGCACTCAAAGGTAAAAATTCGTGAGGGTCTAGGCACAAAGCGGACAATATCTTGTCGGAAAAAGTTTCGGGATGTTACAAGTGGAATCAGAGCCTGGTTGCGTCACTCTTGAACGATGGTGTGGCAAAAATCAACGAGGATCTTCAGTCACTTTGAAATTAAACGTGCTCGATAGAGACAATATCTCACAGAAAAGTTTCTACACGTTACAGTATTCAATAACAACACTAGACTCGCAAAAGAGATTTGACTTAGGGGTCGTTTGGAAGTGGTGATTGTTAGAGTTGTGTTTGTTGAATACATGTATTGTGCACAATACAATGTTTGGAAGTGCCAAAGTGTAAAACAATGCATTGGTAGGTCCTACCAACAATCACAAAAAATGATGCATTATACAGTCTCAACTTTAAGTTGAGATTGTTGTAATTGTTGCTTTTAGATTTATGTAAGCTTTTTCTTTCCATTTATATCCCTAATAGTTTTTGTCTTATAGTAAAAGTTGAGGGAAAATATGACATTTCCCCATAAAAGTAACTTTATGTAAATCAATGCATAAAGTAGAATCTCAACAACCAAACAATGTATTGTTAAAATGCATCCATTGTATCAATACATGCATTTATGGTGATTCATTACAATGCAACAATTTAACATTCGCAACTTCCAAACGACCCCTTAGTGATTGATATGATAAAACCTTGTTCACTTCTATTTTCGTTTCCTATTTTCTGTTTTCATGTAATAAATTTGGCAACCCAAACGAAAAAACTTGTTTACTTTTCATTCTGTTTTCTATTCGTTTCCAACTATGAAAACAAATAGTGGCAACTTCCTGTTATTTTCAGAAACGACAAAATATTATTTTCACATATTTTCAACATCTTTCTAAAAAACACGAAACAGAAATAAAAATAAACACTACATACCGTTGCCAATGAATTCCTATTACGGGCTTGTGAAAACAAATATTGGGCTTAAAAGCCTTTCCTTTCATCAAACTGGAATTAAACTAATAAAGAGAGGAATGATAGAGGGGAAAAAAGAGGGAAATATTCGCTGTAAAACCCTAGGAAAATTAAAACCTCTAAAACCCCGACAGTTCGGAGTCTCAGAGCTCAATAGGTTTCTATGAGTTTGCATTGAGAATTTGATAGAAACTTCTGAACTGACAACCCTAGATTTTGGTTGGCTTCCAATGGCGTCTCTTCTTCACCGTCTCGGCAAAGGCCGAACTTGTTATACGCAGTTCTCCAGAATAGGTAGGAGCTTAGCTTCTGAAGCAACAGCAATGTATGGAAAACCCCTCCAGCTTCCTCTCCAAGGTGATCTTTTTGCTCATTCTCCATTGTGAAACTGGGTTTTGTATTCCGGATCCTTTCTTGGGCTATGCGACCGAAATTTGAATGTTAAGAGGTTAATTGAATGGCAGAACAAGTGATGCAATCATGTTGTCACTTGAACTGGAGGAACGGAGTGAATAGGTTAGGTGATTGGTTGATAGCTACATTTGAAGGAGAGCAAAAGTGCTGTAGTCTGGGTGATTGGTTGATAGCCTCTGACCTAGTTGATCCTTTTTCCGACTTACTTGTGGAAATGTCAAGCTATCTAGACTAGGCTAAGGCTATGATTCTGTCCCTGGGCCATATGCATAAGTGTTGTGGTCTAGGTGATTGGTTGATAGCTTCCGACCTAGCTGATCCCATTTCCGGCTTACCATGGAAATGCCGAGCTTTCTGTACTAGGCTAAAGCTATGATCTTGGTGCACAATACTGGGTTGAGAGATTTCTGGCTTCAGAGATATTTCTTAAGTTTGAGGGTCATAGAGGTGTATGATTTTCCTGCAGCTAGATGGATGTCGACTCCTGCTGGAACTGTTACCGGATTTGATGAGATGATAAAAGGAACACAGAGGAAGTTCTATCTATTAGGCGGGAAGGGAGGTGTTGGGAAAACAAGCTGTGCTGCCTCCCTTGCAGTAAAGTTTGCTAACCATGGCCACCCCACCATAGTTGTCTCCACCGACCCTGCTCACTCTTTGAGTGATTCTTTTGCTCAGGTATATGCGATCTCTCTGCATTCTTGTGTTCCTGATTCTTTTTTGTTCCGTTCCGTTTTTCTTTTATATATATGTTATATGTCTGCCTGGAAATTGCTCTAGAATAATAAAAGTCATGTTTAGTTCTTCGTTCTCAGGATCTAACTGGAGGGACTCTTGTTCCTGTTCAAGGAGTGGATTCTCCTTTGTTTGCTCTCGAGGTACTTGTTTACTAAACAAGCTGTTTGAAACTTTATATCTTCTTGTGTGGATGGTTCATTTCAACATGTTCCACTACCTGAATAGAACATTTTGGTTCTCGTAGTTAAACCCCGAGAAAGCAAAGGAAGAGTTTCGAAAATCTCAAAAGGCGGGTAATGATGGGGTGAAAGACCTTATGGATGGTATGGGCCTTGGCATGCTTTCCGACCAGGTTAGCGATCGTATGTTTAATACTCCTCGTGAGCTGGAGACGGCATGATTTTGAGTTTTGACTGACTTTGCTGATGTCGTAGTTTGGGGATCTGAAACTTGGGGAGTTGCTAGACACTCCTCCCCCTGGGTTGGATGAAGCTATAGCAGTTTCCAAGGCATGCCAATCTCTTATATACATTTTCTTGTAATATCACGAGACAATCGATATATTCTAGTACTTTGACCTAATGGAGCTCTTTTTCTTTCCAGGTTTTGCAAATCACAGAATCTGAAGAATATAGTAAATTCACTCGCATAGTCTTTGACACTGCGCCAACGGTTAGTTAAAATCTGCTCTAGCGTACCTAAGATTTCTTCATACAGGTCAACTCACTTATTGTATTTTTCATGAGTTGGTCTTACAGGGCCATACACTCCGGCTTCTATCTCTACCAGACTTCATGGATGCATCTATAGGCAAAATGCTGAAGGTATGATTGACAAAGGTCGAATTATTTACTCTTTTTCTGATGTGGCTTTTTGGGATAAAGAGTTCCGTAGCTGTTTACTGAACTCGATTCTGAATCAACCAACTCTAGCTGAAGGAAAAGTTGTCTTCAGCAACTTCTGCACTCAAGTCTATGTTTGGCAAAAATGATGGACAGAAGCAACAACTCACTGTAAGCAACTGATGTCATTCGTGTTAGGGTTTTCTTTTCCCCCTCTGATCAATATATCCTAAACATTCTCTTGTGAACCTGAAGTCAAACAAGCTGGAGAAATTGAGAGAGAAAATGTACAAAGTTAGAGACCTTTTCCGTGACTCGGATTCCACGGAGTTCATCATCGTCACAATTCCAACTGTACGTTTGAAATTTAACCCTTTAGCTATGGATGATGCTTTTCATAGAAAGAGAATGTTCAAGCACTTCGTTGACATTCAATACTGCAAGCAGTTTTTCTCTCTCTTCCATTTCCAAACTGTTGAACGCAGAATTGTAACCAAAAGTTCCTCTCCCTTCATTATTGCAAATTCATGTCTCCCTTGCACTGTACTTGTGTGCTTTTCAAGGTTATGGCAGTGAGCGAATCATCGAGGCTGCATGCATCCTTGCTGAAGGAGAGCATTCCTGTTCATAGGCTTGTTGTTAATCAGTTGTTGCCTCCATTAGCCACAGATTGCAAGTTCTGTGCAATGAGAAGGAAGGTATATGCTTCTTCTTCGCCGAAAATAGCAGGAAATTGTCGACATGCTTATTTCCAGTAAAAAACAGGTGCAATCTGCAATCTTGAAGCTTCAATTATGTTTGTGGGTAATGCAGGATCAGGCACGTGCGTTGGATATGATACAGAAAGATCCTGGTCTCGACAAGTTGAGATTAGTGGAGGCACCCTTGTTCGACGCAGAGATCAGAGGCGTTCCCGCTCTAAAGTTCATGGGAGACACGGTTTGGAAATAATCGCCAACAAGTTGAGGGGAACTGAGAAAGAGTCAAGTCAATAGCGTTGTTTATAGTCTTGCAGCATAGAGGAACATTTTGCTTCCTTTTTTTTCTCTTCAATACAGTAAACTAAGAATGTGTTGGTGTCTTGCTTTCGTTTAATTCATATCAATTCATGCTTTCATTTCTTCACCGTCTGCTGAGATGAGCATATCATGATTATTATGATAGCAAAGATTCAATTACTGTGGTTAGACTGTTAAAGCAGGAATACACTCCAGATGAAGTTTACCATATCTATACTAACTGTTAAACTTCTACCGAAGCAATAGAAGGCAAACCCTGAAGATTGCCTCTATCCTATATATGCTAAAACTAGAACACCAGTACTGAATCAATCGATGTCTTGTTTTACTGTACATTACCTGATGATATCAATCGTGTTTAGGAATGCAGAAGAGAAGTGAGTGCTGTCAAAAATATAAGTACTTCCATTGAAACATTCTATACCCTAAAGAGTACATTTTCATAGGCTGGATTGCAATGCAAAATTACTCTGCACATAATGCAGTGACTGACCTCTATCAAGCATGCTCCCACAAGTGATATTTTCCCGGTAGTCCCAACTGCAAGTCATCTCACTCTCTATGCGGGGTTTTTCTTTTTCTTTCTGTTTTTCAGTTGCTGTACAAGTTCCCTAATTCGAGATCAAGAATCCAGGCACTGTGTTCGTTCTTCTATTTACAAGGACAAGTTGACACAGATTATTTCACCTCCTTTGGCATGTAACCAAGACGATGAAGGCAACTACACGACTAGCTAGGCCAGTTAAACCGAGAAAAATAAGGCAACGGTTCCAATGATTGAGATCATACCCATTTTCCATGAGTGAACCACATCGTGTTATCAGCCATACTCCATTATATCTGAAAGTAGAAAGAGAGTAAGCAAATCAAGACTGAAGCTAACAAAGCACTGCCAAGGATGACCAGGTACAACAGAGTCAACTACGCGCTAACCTTTTGGCATTTGATATAACGAATGCTTCCAATGCCCACTTGGTATAGCAGACGTCCGATAGTTTTCCAGCAATGCCATCATCGTTCCGGGTCGCGATTAGAGTCAAAACAACTGGAAGTAGCACTGACCACTGTATGAAACAGGACATAGATGAGAGGCTCAGAGGGGGAAATATGGGGAAGTTTGTTTTTAGTCCAGTGTTCTCACCAGTTGTGCTGGACCGGCTTCAAAGGCAATAGCCAATATGTAAGCTATTCCAGTGACACAGTACACCAGGCAGACCAATACAATGTAGTTGTCATAGATGCTTGATCTAGGATTGTTGAAGAAGTAGAACATGGAAAGATACACAATGGGCTTGATGAGGGTGTTGAAGTGATCAATGGTGTCCTTGGAAAGAAAGTATGCCAGGCTGCTCATCCCAGAACTTCTTTCTCTCCAGTAGTGTAACTTATCCAAAGAAAATGACCTCAATGCCGCAATCTTGCACAAGAGAGCTGAAATGTCAACGGCAGAGATTTTGTCGTGATTAGACCGGACAGTCAAGTTGTGTATAACAGAGGAGAACTTAAAAGACGATATCTATTTACTTACAAACTGCAATGACGGTGTACGTGTAGCCAACTGCACCGAAGGTTTCGTCGCTCACTTTAGCTAGTGTTCCTAAACAAATACCAGCCAGCAATAAAATCAGATAATCTACAGCTTGCGTCCTGGCTTCCCGTAATCGCTGTTTACCAACCCTGAAAAGATGCATTCAAAGAAATCATGAAGGCGAATAATATCAGTAAATCACCTCAAACGAGCCAAAGTGAAACTCAGCAAGAAAATGTCTTGGCGCACCTGCCAAGGAAGTATCTGTACTGCTGAAGGATACCAGGTGTAGTTCTTCCAGACAGGTCAGGCATGCTCAAGAAGTTATGCTGCATATTGTCTTTCTTGAACTCCACGTTAGACTTCATATCCTGCCAAAACTCTCCAGCGAACGACTGAGCCTCGGACCCTGCTTCGCTAGGCACTCCTCCATGGCTCGAACCTTCCCCTGCAGGGCCTCCAAGCCCTTCAGTACTCTGAAGCATGTCCATGGGAACTGGGTACGAATTATGAAGCATCCATCTCACTGGAAGTTGTTTATAGTGCACACCCGAGGCTGGTTTAAGTATTCCCTCCAAGATGTCGATAAAATAATCTGGAGGGTTTACGCGGTCTGGAACAGTGATTCCAAGTCCCTCAAAGTATTCTTCAACTTTCTTTACTGGTCCATGGTACGCTGTCAAGCCACCTTTGGCGAGAAGTATCAAGTCATCAAACATCCTGAATAATGTATAGCTGAAGCAACAAAAGAAGAAAACGAGAATTATCATACGACGTGAAAGAAACGACAAACAAAGAGGAAATGAAGGTCTTTTGGTACCTTGGTTGATGGACAACCATGCAAATGTTCACTCCTTCAAGAGCTTCACGTCTAAGAGCTCTAAGGAGTAGCTGGGAAGATGAGCTGTCCAAACCAGATGTAGGCTCATCTAATATAAGAAGTGAAGGTTCCATCACCATTTCCAGCCCCACGTTGACTCGTTTCCTTTGGCCACCAGAGATTCCTCGCTTTTCCACCGTCCCTACAAGAGAATCCCTCACTGGCTGAAGCCCTAGGGACTCAATGACTCGTTCAACAACCAGAACCTTATCTGGTTTTGGTAGATCAGCAGAGAGCCTGCATCTTGCACTGAACCAAAGATTCTCTTCTACACTCAAGTTGCCATGCACAATGTCATCTTGAGGCACAAAGCCAATGATTTTCTTGTATGCTTGGATTGGTTCTGCTTTACCATTTACAAGAACCATGCCTGTGACCTGACAGCCAGGTGCTTTTCCAGTCAAAGCAGAGAGGAAGGTTGTTTTTCCAGCTCCAGATGGCCCCATGACAGCGGAGACTCGTCCAGGTGATAACTTGCCAGTCACGCATCTCAATAGGTGTTTGTTTTTCCCCTTCAAAGTGAGGGTTAGATCCTTGAAAGCAACCTCTATAGTGGGTCTTTTCCTGATTTCAACATCACTAGCCATCGAGATTACCCCAGAGAAGGTCAAGTTCTTGTTCTGCTCTTGCATAGCCTTTTCCCTTTCGATCTGGCCATATGCATACCTGAACATTTGGCTCTGAGTGTGTAACTGCTTACCCTTTGGTGCATGTTTCTTAATGTTTTTGTCTCCGATCTCGACATGGAAGCCGTCATGTCCCTCAGGGTTGGCCTCGATTTCCTGCAGCATTTTTGTGAGGTTTCCTTTCTCCTTTTTCTTTCCTTTTGTCGAAGAGCTGGTGTCTTCCCTTTTGGACTTTACACGAGAAAATGTTCTTGAGAACTGGCTTTGGAGATCCAATGCGTGCTTCTTAGCTGTTTCTTTTGCTGATTTCCATTTTTCACGTGACTGGGTTTCTCTTACGCTTTGAACTGCTTTCTCTCTGGTTTTGGCTTGTCTTTTCTCTCGAGTTGCCAGTACTTGATCAGAACAGTTGTAGATTATGATAAGCAGAAAGAATAGCCCAGCCTGGATGAAGAAATCAAAACTTGATTTGCTGCCTTTTTGTGATTAATTATAAGCACAAATGTACAATCGAGTTAAGCTGATGAATGCTCACAAAAAGCAAGAGCCCATATGCAGTAATATTTTGGTTTGCTGAATGTGGTACACATGTTGCCAACTTGAAACACCCTGCAAGATCAGTGGCAAAGTTAGTATGCTGCTAAATCAATTAAGAGATATAAAATTAAACCCACAGATTTTTCTGAATAAAAATCGCCTCAATTTGCTTCAGCATTCAATAGCAAACAAGTATCATAAGTTCATAACAGACAATTGCCAGGTAACATTATTAAGGGCAGAAACTACACACGAAGTTCATATGTAAATAGTGTTTATACCACAGAGGAAAGGAACCCACCTGATTGATGTGTAGAACCAGTCCTGCAGTAATGCCTGTAATCCACAAAAAATAGAACCGCAGTACTCATGTCAGTGATGGAATCGGCACATGGACAGGGATTGCCTGTCTAATTCTTAACAGAGCAGCAAATCGAACAGAAAAACAAGCTGCAAGTATGATTATAGTAAGTGTTCAAAGGTTTGGGATAATTTACAATACCCCCTAGTGCAAGGAAGTTTTTCGATAGTAGACGGACAGTATGATCCTGCTGAACAGAATACATCACCAGTACTCACAATATCAGCCCAAATATCAGCTCCTCCACAGGTATGGTTTGGCTTCCCAGCAGGGAGTTGGTAATGGTATCTACAAGAGTTTTCTGCTAATAGTTATTAACGCATGGCTAAGCACAAGAAGCTTAAACTGAGTAACAAAAGACAGCACTTAAACTTACGGCTCACATACGCCTGTAGTCTTGTTTAGTGTTGAAAGTGGGCAGTAAGCACCTAACGGGCAAGCTGCATTGGTGGAAGAAAAGAAAGAAGAAAGGAAAAACCAACTGCATCTCAGTCAAAAACTTCGATTCTATAATTCGTTCATGCACGTTCAACAGAAAGAAACTCTCGAACTGCGCAAGTTAAGCAAGTACAGTTCAAGCAACTTTTATCGCCATGCAGTAGTAATTCAAGGTTCTCCTTCACTATCAAACTCATGAATCAAAACCAGATAAAGAATCTTTTGATCAAGCACCATGCCTATCCAGAACAAAGGATGTCCAAACTAAAAGGGGACTGAAATTCTGAACACCTGACAATCTGGTATGAAATGCATATCCATTGCCGCATGTTCTAAGTAGGTTGTCTCATGGGAAATATTAAATATATATGCGTAATTGATCAACTTGAAATGTAAAGAGAACACCCATAAACGCATAATGCTTGCCAATAGCTACTCTACCATTCGCACTTACGTATCATGCAAGTGAGACCATGAGGGCAGAAGAACCCTTCACAGCAGCTCTCACAATCGGAACTTCTGGTAGGCATGTCCTTGGAGTTCTTCAGGTCGACCTTGATTCCCTTTCCCACGCTACAAGCCCACCCTGGCTCGCATCCAGACACCCATGAGCTCAGGTTGCAGTTCCTGTTCGGATGCAAATAATTAGATGTCTTCGAACCCTTGGTGAAGAAGCTATTGAAGTAGAACTTTATCTCTGCTGCTGTGCATATACGCTGCCCAATGTCCCCTGATCCACCACCACAAAGCCACAACACAAAAAGGGTCATCAAGATTTGCGCAGCAGCATCATCGAAATTTCCGAGAAATCGAACATGAATGAACAAATGAATGTCCCTCTCCACCCACTTCCAGTCTTGTTTAAAATCAAAACCAACCCAATTGAATCAGAAAGGAATGCTGCAAATCAGGCATTGGAATCACTCATCTTTCTTACCGTTGGTTCTCTTGGCGCAATTGGACATGAATTTGGTGTTCTTGGAGAAGTTGAAAGCTTCATTCCAATCCCTATCCCTGCAATCCGCCATAAACAAAATGATTTCTGATAAACAATGCGAAAAACGGAATCGAAACAGCTTCAATGGTAACATACACGTCGGTAATGCAGAAACCGAAGTGCTTCTTGATGTCCTGCTTGAAGATGGTGGTGAAATTGGCGAAACTGTTGTAGAGCGCCTGCGAGAGGAGCTCCTCGGCGACCTGATTACCGCCGCCACCAGCTGCGGCGGTCTGTATGTTTCTGGGGATGTCGCCATCGTCGTCCTGGCAGGAAACCGGAGGCGAAAACGACAGCAATAGCAGCAGCAGAAGCGGAATCAACGAGTTGGGGGAAAACGCAGAGAGAGGACGAGAACGCCAACGGACATTGACCTTCTCTCTGCTCATATCTCGGCCGGCGTTGTGGTGGTGGTGGGGATCACCGGGGGCGGGATTTGGCTTTCGGCGACGGGGTCACATAAGAAACGAATTCGAGGAGGAGATTGTTTTCCCTTCTTTTGGGGATGGGAAATCGGAAGAACAAGGAGAGAGAGAGAGAGAGAGAGAGAGAGAGAGAGAGAGAGAGAGAGAGGATGGGAGAAATGGAGGGAGAAGGATTTTTTTGAGAGGGAGGAAGAAAAATGGCGGGGGAAAGCAAACAGTTGGCCTGGCGGAGTAGTAGGAGGAGGAGACCGTTGGAGACTTTTAAGACCGGCGTCAATGCATTTTCTCCTTCATTTCCTTACTTCTTCACTCCTCCCCTTTATTAATCTAAACAAATCTAATTGATTACAAAACAAAAATAATTAACTAATACAATTTTTAAGGCAGAAGTAAAATTCTTTATACTCTATGTTTGGCCCGGCTTTTAGAAGTGTTTTTCGGGTTCAAAAGCTGAAGCAGGGCCAAACACCGGTAAAAACTCGGCTTTTGAAGAGGCGAAAAGCGCTTTTGTATAACATAAAAGCAGAAGCTCCGATTTGAAGCTTCTGCGAAAAGCTGTTTTGAAAATACAAGATTATCCTTATCATATTTTCTGAAGCAGGGCCAAACACCTGTAAAAACTCGGCTTTTGTATAACATAAAAGCAGAAGCTCCGATTTGGAGCTTCTGCGAAAAGCTGTTTTGAAAATACAAGATTATCCTTACCATATTTTAATTTTATTTCAGAAAATATAATTTTCCTTCATTTATCATTTTAAAAATAAAATATAAAATCATATTATTTAATATAAAAGAAATCTACCAAGATCCATTTTGATTACTTTTTATTGTTTAGAATTTTTATTCATATTTTATATTATAAGTCCTTTATAGTCATTTTACACAACCTCTTTTTTTTTTTTTTTGATAGAAATCTGCATTTTATTCAGCTCTTAAACCATCCTTCTCCAGAAAAGAGAGGATACCCAAAGGGGGCCTATGGACCCAAGTGTTTGTACTATCCCAATTACAATTTAAATGGGCCATGGCATGGGCCGGTTCGTTTCCGGTTCGTTTTGTAAATTTCCATCGAACCGACCCAAGCCCTGACGCTCTGGTTCTGATTTCTCGGGCAAGCACTCCTCCTTCCAGCCTCATCATTTCCTCCGCCTGCATCTGGTGGATGGCATTGAGGCAGTCACTTTCGATCTCCACCCTCTGCAAATTGTGCTCCACCGCCATCGCCACGCCAAGATTGATTGCACGCAGTTCAGCTAGCTCCGGCGGCCACTGAGTCCTCTAGCGACGCACTGCTGCTAGGAGAAACTGACCATTCGCGTCTCTGGCCACCACCCCCAAACCAGTTCCCTCCGCCTCCAGCACAGCCGCATCCACGTTCAGTTTTACCCAGCCCTCCAGCGGTGCCTCCCAGGTATCAATTCTTCCTCCCCGCTCTTCCTTTTCCTTCAAGTGGTGCGATTGGAATTCCTCCCAATAGGTTAGGACTCGTCCCACAATTTCCCATTCTTCTAATAGTTTTAGAGCCAAACACTCAACTGCTTTTTTTAAAAGTACTTATCTAAAAGCTCCGGCCAGAAACTGCTTTTGCAAAAGCTACAACAGCCAGGGCCAAACTAAGCTATAATCAAATTTGAATTGTTGGGTTTTCAGATATCACTACCTCCAATTGTTCAATGATCAACTAACTAGGGCATAGTCTCACTAACTATTCTTGCTATACATCACAAGACCCTTTTTAAGAGAAAATTCAACCCGCCCCTTCCCCCCCATTTGTCAGTCTCATTGGTCGCTGTCATCGAAATAGTCATCTTCATCGAAAACAAGAACTTCACAAGCACTCGATCCTCGCGGTAGCAGCTTTAGCAGTGATGCGAGCTTTCCAAACTCAGGACCACGACGTCTAGGTACATGCACATTGACCTCCTTCAGAACAGCTCCAGCCTTGAGCAGATACGCCACCATTTTCTTCTCATCCTCAACTCCTTCGAAATTCATGACCTTGATTTTTTCAAGACTCGAAAAGAGGCACTCAGGTGTGTAGGCAGGTACTGGCTCCCGTCGTATCATCGAGTCGCCCAACTTCGATTCCTGACCATTGGAAGAAGTTCATAGTTACAACAAAAAAAAACGGGTGCATGATGCAGGGACTAAGGAGTAATGTAATGAACATATAATGAACGCTCACCATACAAATGACAAGAGATTGTAAATTGGGGGCCGAGTTGAGAAACCGGTGCAGAATGCTTGCATCAACTGCGAGTTTCAGATGTGTCAAATTGGGAAAGGCTGGCAGCTCGAAATCACAACGGAATTGAAGCATAGCCTGCAACATAGCAGAGCGTTCATCAACCAAATTTAATCAATGACAGAAAAAAGAAAAAAAAATTGGGAGTGGTAGTTGAGGAAGGAAAGTGTAATCTTACAAGCGGCTGCCAAGAAAAGCTCAATTCCTTTGCATTGGATATCTGTTGGAGGAAATAAAGCAGGCAAAGTTCCCAGATCATGCCCACAGAGCCAAGAACAGTTACTGAATCAAGGCATGGAAATTTACTACTGCCCAAAAACTGCAACTCTGCAACAACACTCCGAAGATGGAGATGCTCGATACTCGGTGCTTCGATCGCCCAATGCGTAATACAATGAAACCGGACAATTGTTAGGTTCTTCAAGCATGGTAATGAAGCAATGAGTTTGCACTCCTCCTTCCTGTGTAGATACTCATCAATCTTCATATGATCAGTCTCCAGATGAGCAGTCTCCAGAGCAGGGCAACCCGAAAGGAGCCTGCCTAATGACTCACCGTCCACTATCTTCACCCTCAAGAGCTGCAAGTTCTTCATATTAGGAAGAAAAACAGACGACCCAGTCTCCATTACAACACCGTCCAGCTTCAAAACTCTTAAATGCTTCAGAGTGTAAAAAAACTCTGGAAGCCGGTGCATAGGAAAGGTGGGGCCAGTTCCATCTTCCGCCTTAAAGTTAACATCAATTTCCTCGAGCAGAGAGCCAGAACCCAATTCCATCTTCAACCATAGATACCGGTTCCCGTAGCTGTAAGGGTAACCTTCTTCAAAATGCAAACTCAAACGCTTCAGAGAATCCAAATTCTTGTGCTCGCTCAGAACCCTGTCAACGAAGCGGCAGAATCCAAAGTATTTGTCCCGCCGCGTGCTGCAGGAGGGTTTTCTGTGACGACTTTTCGCACCATGGCAACCCCAGATGGTATTGTCGAAATCGAGATTGCAAACCCTAGTCCAGAGGTGCTTCCACCGTCGGCCGAGGACGGCGGTGCCCACGGCGAACTTGGTTGGCAGGAAAGATATGATGTAGGAGAGAATCTCGTCCGGTAAAGAGCTCAGCCTGTCGTCGTCCATTCCCGCCAGCTTTCGGACCGGCGATTGCTCTGCCCTCGCCATCGGCGTCTCCATGGGCGGACGAAGGTGAAATTGAGGCGGGTAACTGAAAATAGGGCTTTGAAGCTGAGGAATTGCAAAACAAGTTTATAACGGAGGCAGGCTGCGGCTGGACAGGATTTGGCTACTTTACTAGGGTTTCCCGTTTATGAGCCGTCTTGTACAAGTTAACTTTTGGGGCTCAATGACCAATCCGGTCACTAAATTACCTATATATGTCGTATTAGCTCGACTTGGTGGCTTGTTGAGCTAAACTCGTGAGTTGGCTCGTTTAGAGCTTATGATATGTCTTGACATGTGGTAAGAGAGCCAACTCGATTACCAACTTATGAACGAATCAATCTATATCTTATGATTTTAATTCATATGGTTGTTAAATTATATATTTTACCATATATAAAGTTTAACACGTTGCGTTTGTGAACAAATATATTTTATTTTCTACTTTAAAAAGAAATTATGCATCTAGATTGCTTCGATACTATGAAATAACATGATTTGGAGTAGTTAAAATTTATTAACTAAATGATATATTATACCATCATAGTATAATATGAGATTAGCTAACAAAATAAATCATATGTATCATGATATACAAAATGAAGTATCAAATAAAAGTTAAGATTTTAATAAACAAGCTAGCTCGAGTTCGACTCGACTCGGCTCGTTAATAAATGGGCTGAGCTCGAGTTCGACTTGTTTATTAACGAGCCGAGCTCAAGCTGGGGTAAAACTCGACTGACTCATTTTGCAGCCCTCTGCTGTATGCAGTGCAGCAGTGGCATGCACTCATGGGGAAATTCATCGAACAGAGTTCACCGAATGCTCGACTGTGCAAAAGCCAATGCGATTCTCAAACTGTTGCAGGGATGCAACAGCTTCACGAGGCTACGCAAAATCCAGGCGCAAGTCATCGTCAGCGGCCTCGAATGCGATCCCTCCATTTCTACCCAGCTTATCAACTTCTGCGCCGTCTCCGTCTCCGTCTCGGGCTCCCTGGCTCACGCACAACTACTGTTCGACAAAATGCTTGACCCGCCTACTCAGGCTTGGAATTCCATAGTAAGAGGCTTTGCCCAGAGCCCTTCCCCTCTTTTAGCTCTCTCTTACTACAACCGCCTGCTCTTCTCCAACTCGCTTCTAGCTCGCCCCGACACTTTCACCTTCACCTTTGCTCTCAAGGCGGTGGAGAGAGTGAGACTCAAGGCTCTACCCAAGATACAGTGGTCTGCACTGGTCTGGCTAGATGTTACGGAAGGAATGGGTGTTTGGAAGATGCCCGCTTTCTGTTTGATAATATGCCTGAGAGAGATTTGGTAGCCTGGAACGCCATGATTTCTTGCTACTCGCAGGCGGGGCACCATGAGGAGGCGATGGGGATGTACGAAAAAATGAGGAATGAGAATGTGGGTCTTGATGGGTTCTCAATCGTTGGGTTGCTTTCGTCTTGCGCTCATGTGGGGGCTCTGGGGTTGGGAGTTCAGCTGCACAGGATTGCTTGTGACAAAAGGTTGGTTAGAAATGTGTTTGTGGGGAACGCTCTGATTGATATGTTCGCTAAATGTGGTAGCTTGGATGATGCTCTCTCTGTTTTCAGAGAGATGAGAAAGAGGGATGTCTTTACCTGGAACTCCATGATTCACGAATTTGGAGTCCATGGACTTGGTAATGATGCCATCTCTTTCTTTGAGCAGATGTTGCTAGCTGGTATCCGGCCTAATTCAATCACTTTCCTGGGTTTGTTGTGCGGTTGCAGCCACCAAGGCTTGGTACAGGAGGGTATTGATTACTTCCACCAGATGAGCTCCAAATTCAATCTCACACCAGGCATCAAACACTACGGCTGCTTGGTGGATTTATATGGCCGAGCTGGTAGGCTTGATAAGGCACTGGAGATGATCGAAACTGTCCCATCACGGGACGATCCAGTCGTGTGGCGAATCCTGCTGGGCTCCAGTAAAATCCATAAGAATGTGGCCACTGGAGAGAAAGCAATGATGAATTTGATGAGACTCGGGGCACTAACCGCGGGGGATTGTGTCTTGCTTTCAACCATATATGCCGGAGCAAACTACCCCTCAGGGTTTGCCAAAATGAGGAAACTGATCAAAACCCTTGGGGTGAAGACCACTCCTGGTTGGAGCTGGATTGAGATCTCTAACCAAGTTCACAAATTCGTCGTTGATGACAAGTTACATCCTGATAGCATGCAAGTCTATGAGAAACTCGAGGAAGTAACGAAACGAGCGGCTTCAGCTGGCTATGTGAAGGAGGAGGCTGTAATACTGAACCTGCTTGGGTCTTGGTCTGAAGGAGGGTATTCAGAGACTCCAAGTTCATGCCACAGTGAGAAGCTAGCAATTGCTTACGGATTGGCAAAAACTCCAGAAGGTACAAGCCTGCGCATAGTTAAGAACTTGAGGGTTTGTAAAGATTGTCATTCGTTTACGAAGTTCGTATCCAAGGCATTCAATAGAAGCATAGTTGTGAGGGATAGAGTTCGATTTCATCACTTCAAGAACGGAGTGTGTTCATGTGGGAGATTATCGGTGAGACGTATGGTGGCCATTGATGAAGAGATCTCAATACTTAAAAGATCAAGATTTGTACTTCAACTCAAAACTCATCCTATGAACAGGTAATCATCTTCAATATGCTGTTGATCTAATAATCACAGAACCAATCAGCAGCAAGATTTTGCGGCTTGATTTCGGATGAGGGATTCTCTCAATGGGAAGAAGGGTCCTGGATTCCTTGCTCAGCATTACCAAAAACGGGTCACTTATACATTCCCCAATGAAAATGATCGGAGCTTGGTCAGGTTACAGAGAAATTACAGCTCATGGTTACCCACCATGGTGGACAACAAGAAGTAAGAATATCTTGCATATCTTAATCGGTTCATTCGTCGGATTCGCACAGCAACAAGAATGACTAGGTTGCAAGCCTTCGGTTCTGAGTTCTGACGGACAAAACATCGAACAGGTGCTAGGCAAAACAGGGGCAACATGTACACTAATGACACGCTAGCTAGCTAGCTAGCTAGTCCTTTTCCCACTGCATCAGCAACGAAGTAAAGGATAAATTCGCCGGAAACAACTCAAACTCACACGGCCGGGACACTTCCTTCTTCATCGGCGGCTGCGGCAGAGGAACTACGGCAGCTGCAGAGGCAACCGGCGGCATAATCAGGGAGCTGGATCCTGTCACAACAGTCGACATCGGCAGGCAATTTGGCAGAGGGGGAGGAGAAGCAGCAGAGCCGAAATCAGCATCACAACTCGCCGGATCATTCAAACAAGGAACACCTCGCTTTTTCCTGGGTCTTATCTTCTCCCCAGCAGCAGAAGACGGCGACCCGTCCGCATCCCCTCCGCCGCCGGAGCTTTGATGAGAGGCGGAGGAAGGAGTGGGGAAGTGGGAATGAGGGACGTGATTAAGGAGCCACTCGACGGTCTGGCCATCTGTTCGGTGGCCGAGCTCCCGGGTCAGTTGGAAGATTCGGGCGGCGCAGACGGCGGGGAGCCGGACCCGGGTGCCCCGGCCGGTAACCTTCTTGTGGCGGTCGCGGGAGCGGGACTTCTTGGCGGGAGATAGGACCTGCTGGTGGTGGTGGGTAGCCGGAGCGGCGGCCGCCGGGAGAAGGAATTGTTGAGTTGTTGGAGTAGTCGTCGTAGTAATTGGGTGAGGGAGAAGGGAAAGCGGTGGGTCCGCAACGGAGATTGTGTCGGAAACCATCGCCGACAAAAGAAAAAGGGGACCGGTGGGCCGCGCCGGCAGGCTAGGGTTTATGCTGAATTTCGAATGGAACCAACGAACTGTTTTGACGGCTGTCTCAGTGGGGGGACCTCTCTTTAATTAAAGAACAAATTACTTCTCAAGTCCCTCAACTTTGCTTCCTCTCAGTATCGTCCTTAAACTTTAAAATTTTATGTTTAAGCCGTTTTTTGGGTTTGAAAAACAATGCATTCATTTCAGGATATAAAGCTAGCTTACAAGGCAATTATATTACAAGAACAACAAAACAACTCTGTTCTTCATGATCAAAATTACAATTTTGGGACCTTGGACGTCGGATGTCAAAGCTATCTACCACTAGAAAGAGACATGGAGAACCCAGAAAATGAAACCAAACAACAGCTTTCGTGAAGGGAGAAAAAAACATCACTCCATGTGCACAATAGCCAGACAGTTGAAGATTAATCATCTTGCTCCTGATCAAAAGCCGAGGAAATCTCTACCGGAGGGATAACAAAATCAGGCACCTTATCGATGTCCTCTTCCGGCTACCATGGAAGGGAGAAACACAGTTCCAAAAGTGAGATGTCTGGTGGATTACAGTACAGATTCCTGATCTCTAGTGGGAAAGGAAAATGGTAGTTAGTATTACCTGCCATAATTGCAGCAGGTGCAACAGTAGGAAATCAATAATCATGACCAAGCAGAAAAGCTTGCCTGCCCACGAACCGCAAGAAAGGTACCTAGTTCATGCATAGAAACAGTTAGCAGCAAGGTTAGGAACCAATGAATCCAATTTTCGTGTGCAGAGTATGAGGTTGCGAGTCTCTCATCGTTACCGTGATAATCTCCCAAGCAAAGGTTGATTGGGGCATTTAAGTGCACGATCATATACTATCTCTGTCCTCTTGGCAACATCATGCCAGTCATAGAGTTTCTTCATCTGCAGAGAAGGTAGACATAAATTTCCCGAGTGCAACTTGGTGTACGGAAGAACATTTGAAAGGAGGTAGTGTGACCAATTGATTTACTTACACGTTCATGCATAACTTGAGGATCGATTTCTGGAAGCAGAGATATGGCCTTCTTGATCGCTTGCACCATATCGGCAGGATCTGGCTCAGCAAGTACAACCATGTCTTCTGGTAGAACCTGCCATAACAAAGAGTGAAATCAGGGGGTCGATTGTGGAGCCAAGGGGACTTTTAACTCATCAGAGAATTTGAAAAGGGAAAGTTTCTCTTTATAGACATGCCTCTGGCACACCTCCAACACGAGTGCTCACTGTCAGTAATCCACAACTTGCAGCTTCTAATATGGCTATGCAGAATGCTTCTGTCAAAGAACTGTCACCAAATGAGTGGAAACAAAAGAAAGAGCCAGATAATAAGCCAATTTGGGCTGAGAGGAAAAAATGAAAAATCCCATTTCTACTATATCTCGATTCAAGAAAAGTCCTCGGACATAAGACAAGTTGAAAAGACTAAGTTTGTGCAACTCTTGTACCTGTTCAAGAATATGTGACCAGAGATCAAAACAGATCGCACAGAAGCATGTGGAACAGCACCCAGCATGTCAACCCGATCTTGGAGGGAGTGCTTTTCCCTCATCTCTTCAAGGCGCACACGTTTGGGCCCATCACCTCCCACAATGAAACGGACCTTGGAAAAATGGTTTTCCCAAATGAGAGCAGGCAATACAAGGAGAAAGATGCTCGTATGCAATGAAGACAAACTTCTTAGTGCAGACGGAAGATGCATCAGGGTCCAAGGAAGGTTTGACATGCCAATGGAATGAAGTCAAACCTGAGAAAACCAATTTAGGGGAGGAAAACAAAAGAACATAAATCCCTGAGACAGAAAGAAAGATCTGACTACTGGGACACAAGCTGCACTTAACAAGATGTTATTTGACACTGAAAATGCAGCTCGTACTATAGTCTAGACTGATTCATTCAGCTTAAAAAAGGCTATTAAGGTGTGTACTATAATTGATGCCAAAGGTTATCAACCAGCTTAATAGCAGGGTTTAGGCACTGTCCACCTAAGTGCCCTGAGGAGCAGTGACTCAGTTGCAGCACACAATTGAAGGGGGAAAATAAAATCTACCAGTAACTACGATGAGTGCTCAAAATGACTTACATTGGGGTACAACCGGCAGACTTCAGGAATGACTTCAACAAGCAAATCTGCTCCCTTACGGTAAACCAATCTACTTATAACAACAATAACAATTTCATTGCCACCGGGTCGCTCTTCTGCTGGTTTGAACATGGCCGTATCCACAGCATTTGGAATCATATAGACCTTTTCTGGTGGAATACCCGACCGAAGCACCGTGTTCTCCTTGCTCGTGTGAGAAACGCAGATGGCCTGTGTGACATCAGCTAAAGTGAACTGCAAAACCTTGTTCATGTGGATGCTTCCAACATCAGAAAATCCATAAAGCGAATGATCCGTGAACACAACTTTGTAACCCATCGTACGTGCATGCATCAGAGCTTCGTGGCAAAGAGTTGAGAAAGCCTGGTGCCCGTGGACCAACGATATCTGTTCTCGAATAAGAATAGTCCTTATGATTGGAAGGGTACCGTAAAAAGTAGGCAATGTGTTCTGCATCACAAATGGCCTCCATGGTACATAATAAACTTTCAGCCCTCCTGTCATGTATCTCACACCAGAGCGATTACCATAAGCATGAGTCATAACGACTACCTGAAAAATCCCCCAGATAAATTAGCTCAAAAACAATTTAAAGTTGCAGACTCACAGATCCTACTTCAGGTTCTAAAAGGAAAAAACACAAAAAGAAAACCATTGAATCCGTCACCTTGTGACCAAGCTCTAACAGGCATTGTGAGAGGTAATATATGTGATTTTCCACGCCACCAAAGTTGGGATAGAAGAAATCCGAAACCATCAATATTCTCTGCTTCTCAGGGGCCATCAGATCATACCTGCAGCAGGTAAAAACTTCCATGAACAAGAACTGCTGCATTCCAGTGGCAAGACCAGGGTATACACGGTAATGCTGATCAAAGATGCGTATGAACAGAGCTTGCGACCAATGTTTGCATATGTATCTAACGCATGGCTAAAACTTTGATTCATCTTGGCAACAACTCAATTGGCTAAGCCTCTGCGCTTAAATCCTCTTAACTCCCGAATAATCACATTTCATAACTATTCCAATTATACAAACAAATCCTTGAATTAGTGAACTCACCTGAAGTTTACTCGCCGTACAGCTACAACTCCGTCAGACTCTTTTAACGCACGGCAAGCAATTGGAGCTCCGCCATTGCAGGGCCAAACGATTCAACTTCGAGCTGACGCTATTCTGACAGCTCGGAATTCAGCAGATTGAGTCGATGCCAGCCGTGACCCGACAGAGAAGGGGAGGAATCGATTTCGCTACATAATCGAGTTTTGGGACTGCACTGTTCCGGCGATTTTTTGTGTTCTGGAGAAATGAAATTGAAAAAGGTGAAAAAACCAAAGATCCAGAGAGACGAACTGGAAGAGACGAAAGACGAGAATGGACTTCTGAGTTGAGTTCTGACTGTAAAAGAAGCCCAACAGAGAACTAGTGGGACTACCTTAATCGGAACTCCTTTTTGGGCCCAAACGCATTTCATTTTTTCCTTGGATGAATTTTTTTTCCTTGGATGAATTATGAATCTAATTATTTTTCATATTTATATTAACTTTCATCTTATAGAAATATATTATATATAGAGTACAAAATCCTGCCTATAAAATATTGTATCATCGTATCACCATGTCGTGATATGATGATACGATAGGGAATTTGCATGGTTTTGCAAATGATGTTTTAGATCGGAACCAAAACCATATGATATTTTGAAACTAATATAGAAATCTGCATTTTTTCCCTACTTAACAGAAATACACCTCATATAGAATACCTTAATACCAGTATCTTCATGTCTAAAATAAATAAAACAAACATCATTGCTAGAGGACTAGTGTACAGACCCACAAGCCACAACCAGGGGCATTTACATGTTCTAAAAGCTTGAAAGCTGCAAAATGTTTATGCTTCTGAGGACCTAAACAGGGAATTAGCAACTCAATCTACCAAAGGTTTGCTATAGTAAGCCTCTTTAGCTTCAAGCACATCAAAGCAGTATCTCTTCGACAGGATGTCGACTTGGTCAGCAAATGACTTATCGCTGGTGTCCCCAAGGTGTTTCACCATCTGATTCCATCTCCTTCGACACAACTCTCCCGTCCTATGCTCCAACAGATTGTCCCAATCCACGTCCTCCATGCAACAAGCATCCAAGTTGTAGAGCTCCATCACCATCAGGTAGTCATCCGCATCGCGCCATAGGTCAGCAGTAACCAAGGGTGAAGTCAGCTGTTTGTACCACTTCGAGCAACAATGAGCCTGTATTCTCGTATCAAGCTTTTCGCTGATCGCCTCCCAGCTTATGTTATCCTTCAGCATTCCATGCTTCGACTTCCTCTCCTCCTCGAAAGCCTTCATGCGAAGATCAGCGTTCACCAAATCGAACAAGGTCTGGTACTCGTCTTGGGACCACTTCCCGGATTTTAAATCTGTCACCTTCAGCCTTCGAAAGGCGTCCTTAACATGAATCCTGTGTTTGCCAATAGCCTCGGCTAGTGTTTTCCAATCCGAACCATGTTTCTCATGAAACTTCAACACGAGCTCGCGCTCCTCAGTCGACCATTTACGATTCCCATCCCTTTCGAATATTATGTGAGCACGGTAATAAACACTCTGGTAGGGGCGCCAAGGTAAAGCCAACCCTATTTCCTTCCAGCAGTTCTTAATTTCTTTATGCTTACGGCAATTCAGAACCATTTTGAGACCTTCATCGCCTAGAGCATGTGAAGTTATATACTCCAAAACAGCAGCTTTGACGAGCTCGTCTTCCTCCGGTGAGAAGCGCTTCCCTCTCACCAATTCCTCATCCTGACCTGTACTTTCATCATCATTAGAAATGGGGAACACCTGCACATCTTCAGAAAAACTTACTCTCTTAGATGTAGATTTTGTTGGGGAGCTGTCAGAAGCATCTTTTTCAACTCTCTTCCCATCACTTCTCCCAGACTTAGTTGTTGCAGGCTGCTCCTGATCAATGCTTTTATTCTTCTTTTGCTTCTTCTCCTTCTTCTTCTTCTTCCTGCCTTCGGAGTACTCAGAGTTTTGTGTTATAGCGTTGCCAACTTCTTTTGCGCTAGCTTCTTTTTCTCCATATGGTGCTTCCTGCAGTACAGGCTCCTGTTCAACTCTTTGCTTCTTTTTCTTCTTCTCCTTCTTCCTGTCTTCCGAAGACTTGGAGTTTTTAGTTGTAGCTTTGTCAACTTCTTTTGTGTTAGCTTCATTATCTCCTACTGGGGCTCCATGGGATACAGCCTCCTGTTCAATTCTTAGCTTCTTTTTCTTCTTCTCCTTCTTCCTTTCATTTGGATCCTCAGAGTTCTCAGTCACAGTTTCATCAACGGAATCCCAAGCATGTATAACTGGGACTTCCTGCAATACAGGCTCCTCATCCATGCTTCGCTTCTTCTTTTTCTTCTCCTTCTTCTCCCTTTTCCTATCAGTAACCTGCTCTGAATTCTCAGTCTCAAGTCCTTCCTCACCACTCTTCTCAAGCCTACCCTTTCGCCCACCCGCTTTATCATCTCCTATTACAACACCCTCATCACCAAACTTCTCATTCATGGCTTCCAGCAATGGTGGCTCTTCATGAAGACTGCTATTCTTCCTTTTCTTCTTCTTCTTCTTCTTCTTCTTCTTCCTTTCATTTGAAGAGTCAGACTTCTCCGTCTCAATTTCGTTCAAAGAATTATCTCCACTCCTGACCTTGTTTCCATCTTCTCTAGGAATAGAATCAACAGAACTACCATCCTTCACTTTCTTCCTCTTCTTTCTACTTTCCCCATCATCATTTCTACCTTCGGCATGAGAAGCCACAACCTCTGTAGATGCAGCCTCCACATCTACATCTCTCTTCCTTTTCTTCCTAGTTTTCCCCACTTCATTTCTATCTTCTACATATGTACCCTCCACATCAACCATCTTACGCACCCGTGAAAGGAACAAGCTTTCACGAATCTGCAGTCGTTACAACCAATCACCTAGCACAAAGCTGAAAACATCAAACAAGAACGAGTCGTCACTCAGGAAACAGCACCCTACTACTTTCAAGTCGCAACGGATTAATCACTATCCTTTACGAATTCACACCCTAGCAATCTACAGATGCTAAAGGAAAGGGCAGTAAAACCCTAAGAACTAAAAAAACAAAACAGTTTCTACCCTACCGAAGGGCACACTACCCAACTATCCAGCAACTCCAGACAATGACAGTTGAAATGGAAATCAACCACGAAGCCCAGGCGAAACTTGTAGCAGATCTCCAATTGAACAGTTTCGGAGAAACGTAACCGGCGTACTCGGATTGAAAACATTTTGAAGTTTCGAATTCCAAATAAAAAAAACAAAGCAAAAACCTAAAAAGAACTTAACCGATTCAACCCCCCAAGTAGAAAAGAGTCGGTAGAGAGTCTTCGTACCGCCGGTCGGGATGGAATCACCGGTGGCCGTAGGATCCGGCTGGCGAGCGGCGGAACCGGAGAAACACGAAGACGAAGGTGACACAGCCTCTGTCGGGAGTCGATTACACGAATTAGATTCAGCCGCATCTGATGTCGCCGGGTTATCTTCACATCTTATGGGCCGCCGGCCCGTTTCAAATTGACTTCCCTCGCTGCCTCTTTCTCTGGGCCTGACATTTCTATCCGAGCCTAGCCCATTTCACTCGCCCCGTTAACAGTTTAATTGATATTTAATTAATTTATTATTACAAAAAAAAATGATATCGGAGAGCCGAGCCGGCCATCACTGGCGCCAACGACACTCGATGGTGGCTCTCCGATTGAAAGAAACTTCTCGAAGGTAAAAGCATCGCAATAAAACCCTAAACAAACCTCAGTCTACCAGTACTCGCGCCAGCAGCCTTCTCTCCCAGCTTTCCTTATCTACTCCCCTCTTCATCCAACTCCTGCAAAAGGAGATACGCTCAACGCTTACAACAAGGAAGCGTTGAACGACAGAAATGGCAACATCCAATGCTATCACCACTGCCTCCATTTTCGGCTCTCCCTCCCAGGTATTGCCGCTGCTTCATGCCCCTCTTCCTGGGCTTTTTTTCCCCTTCATTTTCATCGGTTCGATGATGATTGTGGGCTTGTGGCGTGGGGATAAGGTATGGCGAACCGAGTTTGAATCATTAGTGATGGAATTTGATGGGAAAGAAAAAAAAGGTCAATGGGATTGTGGGTTCTGATTGGGTTTGTTTGGAATGAATGAAAGGAGCAGTTAGTATGGCGACCTTGTTTGGAATTGAATGAAATGAGCAGTTAGTATGGCGACCTAAGATCATTTAATTGCGAGGGATTCAATGCTGACTAGTGGGTGTTTCTTATTTTGCTCTGATGAATTAGGCGACTTTGAGGAGGAAAGTAACGCAACGGCAGAATCAAAGATTCAACTTTGGGCACTCCGCCAGGAGGCTATCTGTGAGAGCAAATGCTAAAGAGATTGCGTTTGACCAAGACTCGCGCAGGGCGTTGCAGTCCGGCATTGATAAGCTTGCTGATGCTGTTGGGCTCACCCTCGGTCCTAGGGGTAATTGTTCTTTCCGTTGCTACCTTTTTTGGTTATCAGCTTTGTGCACGCTTGTTCCAAGCTAGTTGATGAGTCGTTCCTTGCTTGATGATGATCTTTCTCCAGTATAATTGGAGGTCCACTGGCCTAACTTGAGGCTATTAGTCTTTCTGGGAAGCAACATTTGAGTAGAATGAGATTGGGATTGTTGGTGTTGTATTGTGTATTACGACGGACTTGCTTGTTGTAGGGAGGAATGTTGTCCTGGACGAGTATGGCAGCCCCAAGGTTGTCAATGATGGCGTAACCATTGCACGAGCAATTGAATTGCCTGACCCCATGGAGAATGCTGGAGCAGCTCTCATTAGAGAGGTAACATCTTGAGTTACAGGTTTCCTTTTTTGCCAGATATATATCCGTTTTGTGTCCTTGTTGTGATCTCAATCTGGAAGGATATTTTGCTTTCTTCACTGACTTTTTTTTTATGGTTTTGATGTAGGTTGCTAGCAAAACTAACGACTCAGCTGGTGATGGAACAACAACTGCATCTGTCCTTGCAAGGGAAATCATTAAACTTGGGCTGTTGTCTGTTACATCTGGCGCAAATCCAGTTTCGATAAAGAAGGGAATTGACAAAACTGTGATTGGTTTGATAGAGGAGCTTGAAAAGAGGTCCAGGCCTGTGAAAGGTCGTGATGACATTAAAGGTAATCGCTTGGTTCCTGCTTATTCTTTGTTTTCTCTCATGGATATCGCTCCATTGTGCTGTGCTTATTATTATTATGCCTTTTGACACTTGCAGCTGTTGCTTCTATTTCTGCTGGAAATGACGAGCTCATTGGGACAATGATTGCTGATGCTATTGACAAGGTTGGCCCTGATGGTGTCCTATCAATTGAATCATCCTCCTCTTTCGAGACTACTGTAGAAGTTGAAGAAGGAATGGAGGTATGCATTTCCCTGATCTCATTATGGCATTGAATTGAAATGGATACCTTTTCCAGGGTTAAATTGACCTTGCTTTACTTTGATTACAGATAGACAGAGGTTATATCTCTCCTCAGTTTGTGACAAACCCTGAGAAACTGATCTGTGAGTTTGAGAATGCGAGGGTGTTGATCACAGACCAAAAGATTACAGCAATCAAGGACATTATTCCTTTACTGGAGAAGACGACTCAACTGAGAGCTCCTTTGCTTATCATTGCTGAGGATGTCACTGGGGAGGCTTTGGCAACCTTAGTTGTTAACAAGCTCCGTGGTATCATCAACGTCGCTGCCATTAAAGCACCAGGTTTTGGTGAGAGGAGAAAGGCCATGCTTCAAGATATCGCCATTTTGACAGGTAGCTTGATATTCCCTTTAATGTCTGCAATTAAATGAGTCATTCAGGTTTTGTTCTTGAAGGAAGCCCTTATAATTGAACTTTGCTGTTACTGATATATCTTTGGTTTCATTTCTCCCAGGAGCTGAATTCCAAGCTAGTGATCTCGGGTTGCTTGTGGAGCAAACAGAAATCGACCAGCTGGGTTTGGCCAGGAAGGTGACCATAAGCAAGGACTCGACAACCATAATTGCTGATGCGGCATCCAAGGATGAGCTGTCTTCCAGGATCGCACAGTTGAAGAAGGAACTGTCTGAAACTGATTCAGTCTATGACTCGGAGAAGCTGGCCGAGAGGATAGCCAAGTTGTCTGGTGGAGTTGCCGTGATCAAAGTAGGAGCTGCAACTGAGACTGAACTCGAGGACCGAAAACTCCGTATTGAGGATGCCAAGAATGCAACTTTTGCTGCTATTGAGGAAGGCATTGTCCCCGGTGGTGGAGCTGCACTTGTTCACCTATCGACTCTTGTGCCTGCCATCAAGGAAAAGCTCGAAGATGCTGATGAGCGCCTTGGTGCTGATATCATACAGAAGGTGATTCAACTGACCATCTGTTTCAGGGAACCGATGTATGATTGATTGAGTCAGTGAGTGAATGATGATGATATTGGTTGTGTTTTTCATGCAGGCATTGGTAGCTCCAGCGTCGTTGATAGCTCAGAATGCCGGAGTTGAAGGTGAAGTGGTAGTCGAGAAGGTGAAGGAGAGTGAATGGGAGGTTGGTTACAACGCCATGACCGATAAGTACGAGAACCTGGTGGAGGCTGGAGTGATCGACCCAGCTAAGGTGACAAGATGTGCACTGCAGAACTCGGCATCGGTTGCTGGAATGGTGCTGACAACCCAGGCCATCGTTGTGGAAAAGGTTAGACCCAAAGCACCAGCTGCTGCTGCCCCACAAGGAATGACTGTCTAGTGGGAAAAAAGAACAACCCCGCACATTTCACTTGAGGATGGTTGTGCTATTAGTTAGGAATTTTATCAAAAAGGTTTCTGACAGTCTTTTGAGTACTTTTTCCTGGTGGTGAACACGAAGAATAGTGATGGTGTTGGTCAGTTTGTAAGAGTGTAGTGTATCGAATTGGAGACACTAATAAGTTCACGAAATGCAAGGATGAGTACTTTCCAATTTCCAGGATTCTGTTAATCCACCTGTTGAATTCAGCTGCTAGGTGATCATGGTACTCGGTTGTTAAGGGATGCAAAAAGTTTTCATCCCTGCGTCCAACTAAAAGCAGAGCAGGGGAAAGAAGGTGATCAATCAAATTCAATCATGTCCCAAACACTTGATTTAGTTGAACTCAGAACACAATCTAGTGTGGGATCTGTACGTTAGATCTTGTGCCGCGGAAAAGTGGCGGATTAAGGGGTCGTTTGGAAGTTGTGATTGTTAGAGTTGTGTTTGTTGAATAGTCGTTTGGAAGTTGTGATTGTTAGAGTTGTGTTTGTTGAATACATGTATTGTGCACAATACAATGTTTGGAAGTGTCAAAGTGTAAAACAATGCATGCATTGTTTTAGGTAGGTCCCACCAACAATCACAAAAAATGATGCATTATACAATCTCAACTAAAAGTTGAGATTGTTGTGATTGTTGGTTTTAGATTTGTGTTAACTTTTTCTTTCCATCTATATTCCTAATAGTTTTTGTCTTATTCTAAAAGTTGAGGATAAATGTGACATTACCTCATAAAAGTAACTTTATGTAAATCAATGCATAAAGTAGAATCTCAACAACCAAACAATGTATTGGCTAAATGCATCCATTGTATCAATACATGCATTTATATTATGGCGATTCATTACAATACAACGATTTAACATTCACAACTTCCAAACGACCCTAAATGTCATTATGAATCTTGCTAGTGGCCAGTGATGAATGGTCGTGTTCCTCATAAGCAATCATTAGACATATGGCTTTCACTGGCTGTACCCACCGCTGACGAATGACGATCATATGAATTATGTATAAACTGTTTAAAAGAAGGGGGAAATGGTGGTTTTTGATATTCCTTTCTCCAATCTCGTGTAATTACATGCGGGAGTTATTGAGTGAAAAATGTTTATTTCTGTTAGTAAATAGAATATGACACTTGACATCGTCATAGTCTTTTGTGATCAAGAGGGATTTTGTTCAAATCATGATCACCATCATTTGTTCTGTTAATCGTATGGTGTTTGGACCTGTGCAAACTTCAAATTCATATATGACGGCTTTCGCTTGAGAGGGTGTGTTAGTAAATGATAGATGATTCATAATTGAACGGCTCCAAACGACTCGACTTAGGGGTCGTTTGGTAAGCACGTAATATAGAATTCATGTATTTGAAGAATTCATGTATATTGTAGGTTGAGTTGTGAGAACTTGTGTAATATTAGAATGCATTGTTTGGCTTGCATGAGTTTATGGTAGAACCCACATAATTTGGCATGAAATCTCAAATACTTTGGGTAAACCCAAAGCATTTGAGATATCATGGTCACATGAATTCTAGAATTACATGGTGCACCAATATCATGATATCTGTCCAAAAATGAAACAAGAAAAACAGTGGAATCACAGATATCATGTAATTTTGAAATCTGGGATCAATTGGTTGTTGACATATTCTTGAAATTCAATGAACAGTTGAATAAATTATTGTAAATGAACTATAGCTTTAACTAGTTTTATTGAGTTTGGTTTAGTTTGGTTAATAAGGGGTGTGCAACGATTGGGCCAAAGCCAAATTCATGTTAACCGCAGTCTAATAGTGAAACATTTTAGGACAAAATACAAGAACACTTGTCAATTCGGTCTTATCTATATGTCATTTTAATTCATTTTTCTTTATAATTTATAAAAGCTATATGGCCTAAAACCGGAAATAATGATCCAGTCCAACATATCATTTCAATTCCATACATTTAGGCTTTAGCTATATTAATTTCAAATCCAACAAGCAAACGAGCCGTACAGACCAAACCATTGCATACGAGCCCAAAACCGTCATTTGACCATTAGAGAGACAATCGCGTAGAGAAGCGCGGGGCAAGGGCAGTTGGGAAAGAAATAAATAAAAGGAGGCAAGCAAGGGAAGGAAAATACTCGTGGAACTGTGGAAGCACTGTCGTTGCGATGCGTGGACAGGTAACAGAAAGAAGACGAAGCTCCTCCTTTCCCAGCAGCTGCAGCCGAGACAAACAAAAATGGCGAGATCCTCCTCCTTCCTCTCTCCTCACACTTCCCTCGTCTTCGTATGCCCTGCCATCGCCATGTATCTAATCCCTCTCCATAAACCCTAACCTCTTTCTCCCCTCTCTCCGAATTTCCCCGGATTTCCCCCCTCCCATCTGTTCTCTCACGCCACCGACGACGACTCGATCTCGGTTCCTGAACTGCTCAAGGTTGTGATCTCTTCTCTCCGATTGGCCAGCATTGGCTGTGGAAATTTTTTTTTTTTTTGGCCGCCACACGGTTGTCCTTTTACCCGCGGAATTATGTTGCATGTCGGTTTCGAATTGTTTTCCTCAGGTGGTTATTGACTGATTGAATAATGCAAAATGTGGTTGTTCGTTTGTTTTTCTGTTTGGGTTTGTGATTCCTGGTTGCAGCAATGGCGGAGATGGCGAAGGTGCTGTACATAGTGGTGGTCGATGAGGAGGAGAGGAGAGACAAGGGGAGAGGCTCGTTTCGGTACACGCGTCCGGTTCTGCAGGGCACTCTGCAGCTCATGGGATGTAAGGCTCGTCATGCTTTCAAGGTACGAATTTTCTTCTTCTTCTTCTTCTTCCCCTTTGTTCTTTTTTCCTTGTGTTTTCTTTCGGAGTTTAAGATTCGGTTTCAGTGTTGCGAACACCGGGGATGGCTTTCTTTCTGGCTTCCTTGCATGTTGATTCCCCGGGCCTTATTGGTTTCTTCTGATTGGGATTGGGAACCTGTTAGATCCGGGCTGCAACTTTTTTCAGAAACGCTCTTGGCTTTTAGGAAGTGTGAAGGGTATCAATGCTTTGAATCTTATAGCTTTTGGTTGATTCAACACCATGCCAGGTCGATGATGCCTTGTCCCACCATTGCTGATTCTCACGTTGTGAGACAGCTATTGGCTCATTTGGCTTAGGCCTGCTGGGAAAATGTCGAGTCACTTTCACACTGTTTACTCCTCTCCCTATCCTAATTTTGTCTGCCTTTTCTCTCAGTTTCCTTTTTGCCTCTTAGTTGTGGTGTGAGGAAGTTTACCTCGAGCTTTTTCAAAGAGATGAACAATGTTCCTTTTGAGCATTTTTCTTGAGATCCCCTCTCGATATGCTTTCTTGAACGTGCATGTTATACCAGGAATGATTTCCCGCTAACATTTATGCTTTCATTCACAATGATCATAGAAAATGATAATTTTATCTTTCTTCTTTCGTAGATAAGCAGAAGGGTCTTTGAAATTATAACAAATGCCCCTTCAATTGATACTCGAATCTTAAAGGAAGAAGATAGGACAGGCGTTGATGCTTCCAGACAAAAATTAGAGAAGAGTGATGTTCCGAGGACATTTCCTTCTGAGAAAAATGGCAAAGATAGAAGTGTGCCATTCGAACTGTACAAGCGGCGTACAACTTTGTTTGTTAGAAGAGGAACCTTCTTAGATGTTGTTTGTGATGCTCTGGCTGAATACAAATATGTGGGCCCTAACCAGAGGGCAGACCTTGTTTTGGCGTGCAGGTAAGTTACCAAATATTGCTTTACAGACTTACTTCATATTTGCCCTTTAGTGATGTTGTCCGTGAACTGTACTCCAGCTTGTTGACTCCTACACGAAGTGTTGGTCTTTTGTTTGCTAGTACAATGCAAGCATGAACAAGGAACTGTTGTTGAATGTTATTCTAGGTCTATATAGTAAAATACTATGGATCGTACATCATACTAGTGACGCATACCTTAGATCGATTTATGTTTCGTTGCAGAATTCGAGAAAAGAAGGAGTCTGTAACTGTGCTTTTGTGCGGCACCAGTGGATGTGGCAAATCTACCTTGTCTGCGTTGCTGGTATTGCAGCTTGTTTGAATCTATGATATTTGCTTTTGGTGCTGTTTGGAACCCCCTCTTATTGGGATTCCTTGTGAGCTGTTGAACTGGGAAGACATACCAGTTACAGGAGCTGATTTACATATCTTTGTTCTGTGCAGGGTAGTAGATTAGGGATTACCACCGTTGTATCCACAGACTCAATTCGTCACATGATGAGGAGTTTTGTGGATGAAAAGGAAAATCCGCTTCTTTGGGCATCGACGTATCATGCAGGAGAATATTTGGATCCTGAGGCTGTTGCTGAAGCAAAAGCTAGGAGGAGAGAGAGAAAATTAGCCCGCATTGCAAAAGCACGTCCCAAGGAAGAACCAGCTGATGGTTCTACTGCAGGAAAACCCGATAGTAGTCAAGTCCCGGAAGGGGCGATTAGCCCAAAACAAATGGCTATTGAAGGCTTCAAAGCACAAAGTGAAATGGTGATTGACAGTCTTGATCGCCTGATCACTGCTTGGGAAGACAGGAAGGAATCTGTAGTCGTTGAGGGTGTACACTTGAGCCTGAATTTTGTGGTAACTATCCATCAGTCCTTTGTCATAAATTATCCCTTCCTCGGAAGTATTTTCTGAATGCTTCTCTGGCAATTTCTGTGTGTTTCAGATGGGGCTTATGAAGAAACATCCTTCAATCATCCCTTTCATGATATACATCACAAATGAAGATAAACACTTGGAGAGGTTCGCCGTTCGTGCAAAGTATATGACATTGGACCCTGCTAAAAACAAATATGTAAAGTACATCAGAAACATCAGGACAATCCAGGATTACCTCTGCAAGCGAGCTGACAAACACCTCGTCCCCAAAATAAACAACACGAATGTTGACAAGAGTGTGGCTGCAATCCATGCAACAGTCTTTGGGTGCCTCAGAAGACGCGAGGCAGGGGAGCATCCCTACGATCCAACTACTAATACGGTATCTGTTATTGATGAGGAGTATAGGAACCAATGTGCTGCAAATTCACTGAGCTCGAAGGGAATGTTTCAGCTTATTCAGAGGCAGGGTTCTTCCAGACATCTGATGGCGCTTCTTAATACCGATGGATCAGTGGCAAAAGCTTGGCCTGTAGGTCCAGTGGATAAGAACGGGAAGCCTCTTGTAGGTCATGGGGCTGAAAATGGGATAGGTGTTCCTATGTATGGTCCGTTGCAAATCGGAAAGGCTGAACCGGTGAATCTGCAGTTTGGCCACTTTGGGATCAGTGCTTGGCCCAGTGATGGTGGGACGAGTCATGCAGGGAGCGTGGATGAGTCGAGGGCTGATGGGACCGACACAGGAAGCAAATACCATTCTTCGTGCTGCAGCTCGCCGAGGACTTCGGATGGACCAGCCAAGGAGGTATTTTTTCCTTGTACCAGCTTACTGTGCATCTTGTAAATCAAGAACAATTCTAACCAAGTAGAGCTACAAAAGAAATTTTCGACTGACCATTTTTGCAATCATTGTCCCCTTTAGCTTAAGGAGGAGAACTCGGTGCATGGCAGCGATGAAGAAGTGGATGATGACGCACCTGAAGTGGATAGTAATGAAGACCTTAGTGATGACGAGGACAAACTTGCTCATGAAGAGGTAAATAAATTACCCTGTATTTCTAGCTAGAACTCGGGTCTTCAAAGCACTCAAACTAACTCTCATGCCATCTACCTCCTTGGTTTGGAACAGATTGGTTCGGTGGATGAAGAGTCCACGAAGTCCGACGAGGAGTACGATGACCTGGCAATGGAAGACATGCAAGACAACGGGTACAGGACAGACGCGGAGGACGAGGTTGAGGACAAGGTAAAGCCGATAGATGGTCCGAAGGCGGACAAGTACCGGCAGAACTTGGACCGGTTCCTTCGAAGTAGGAGCGAGCGGTTGGGCGAGCCATTGTGCTCTTACCCTTCCCTCTTGGGAGAGAACGGCGGGAGTAGAGAGGTGCTGCGTACAAGACGTCGCCGTTCACTCAGCATTGGGGCCATCATCGCTGGGAAGCCTGGTTCTGAGGCGGTTAATGGTGCCATTCTGTCTGGGGCTCCCCTGAGTTAGTCGTAGTTGGGCAAGGGTTTGTGAGCTCTGTGAAGCTGTGGCCTGTGGTTTTAGTCTCCCTTGGTTCTATTTTTGTGCGCTTTAATGTTCTTTTGGGCTGGAGGAGTAAGTTAGGAGATTGGGTAGTTATGTCAAGTCTGTGTGTAATCTGTATAGAGGGTTTTGACAATGACTGGGAATCATATTTCAGCCACCGCCTTTTGTTTTAGTTTATCCTCTGTTGTATTGTTCTGTCGAAGCTATAAAGATTTGAGTCCATGAGCATGCTTTCCAAACTGCGAGTCTTCAACTCTTCATTACTGTAAAACAGGCAGAGTTCATCTAGAGAACGTCCTTTGGTTGTCGTTATAAAGACGCTCAGAAGGAAAGCAACAACAAGCGTTTGTAGTCCAACGGTTAGGATAATTGCCTTCCAAGCAATAGACCCGGGTTCGACTCCCGGCAGACGCAAGCTGTATATTTTTTCACGTTAAAACATATTTTTTAGACACTGAAGCTTAACTAGCGTAAACAGGGGTTATTTTGGTACTCAGAAGGTTACATCAACCATGAAGAATGGTCGATTTTGGTAAACCTAAAACATTTCTCGTGCAAAACGTTGGTGAAAAAGCCAGAAAGCATACATGATATTAGGTTGGAGAAGATGAAAAAGATCCTTCACCAAGAAATGGAAGTAAGATTAGTGGCATCCGTTGTTTCTCGTTTGCACTCGCAGTGGAGTTCTGCAGTAGAAACTATCCAACCAACTGAACTCTATATGCGCTTCAGATTCCATTAACTGAGGACCCTAAGCACGTCTATCCAATTCTACCACTGCAGCATAATTTGTATCTGTATCCACACACCATATCCATGTCCTCTACATCTGACGTCTGCAGCTACATGCTGCGCGCAGTTTCTCCAGAATGTTGTCGCCTTGAAGGTATATATCTGCTGTGATCTCTAAGCTCCTGAGATTGTAGACACCCATTCTAGTCGTTTGTATAAGAAACCTCACTGTAGCCTTCTGGCAACAAGTTCCTGGTTGTCAAAGATCAGACAACCGGGTTGTGAAACTCATGGTTCCAAAACCTTATCAATTTGACCACCACAGCCACCAAATTCCTCGTCATCGTCTCTGTCAAGAGAATGTTCGCCTGCTTCAATTCTACTCACCATATCTACCAGCACCTTTGCCTTGTCAAACTGACTCAACAAACAGAGCTGCCTAGCCACCTCCCCACAAATAGGCACATCGACAGCAAATCCACTCTCCTCCATCCCAACAAGCAAATCACAAGCCTCATTTGCCATTCCTATCCTGCAAAGACCATCAGTTAACGTGTTGAGCATGACCTGGTCTAGCTCAATCCCATCCTTCACCATCTTGCTCACATACACCATGGCAGCATCGATCTTCTCTTCCCCACACAGTGCATTGATCAATGCGCAGTACGTATTAGCAGTCGGAGTAACATCTCTCAAGTACATTTTATCGAACAGCAAAGCTGCTCTGTCAACTAGACCTTGTCTACAGTACCGAGTTATAACCAAGTTCCACAAGTGGATATCTCCTCCAAAACCTTTATCATGCATCTCCAAGACCATCCTTTCAGCTTCTTCGAGCTTCCCGGAGCTTACATAGCCATCAATCAGTATTTTATACGTTCTCTCATCGCAAGATGTCTCCTGATTCTTCATCAGTGCTAAGATCAACTCCAACTGTGCGAAATTCCACCTTTTCAAACAGCCATTCAGCATTATGTTGAAAGTAACGATGTTGGGTTTGATCCCACAACCGATCATTTCCTCCACAAACTCTCTGCACCTCCTCATCTCTCCATTCTCGCACAACCCACCAACAACAACTGCGAGCGAGTAAGGAGAGATCACCATACCAGATTTGATCATTCGATGGAAGAACTCCAACACCAACTTCATCTCCTGATTCTTCTTGAGCACAACCAAATGCAGAGTACAAGTTCTCTCATCAATCTCCACTCCATTCCCCCTCATGTAATCGAAGACCTCCAGGACTTGCTCAAACTTCTCGTTCTCGGAATACACGTTTAGCATCACATTGAACAATTTTGCCACTGCTCTGGGCTTCAAAGAACCACAATTCTCCACAGTAGAAGACAGTAGAGGAAATGGGTACCTATCCTTTTGATCAATTATCAAGCTTTTCAAGAGATTCTCGGCCTCCGGGAACTTTCTCACCTTCAACAGCCGGCAGACGAGCGTCAAATGAACCTGGAGATCGGGGATGAAGGAGACCGAAGACTGGTTCTCGAGCACCCAATTGAAGAACTGATAGCCCTCCGATGGCTTCACGGCAGGGTCGGTGAGAATCTGAAGCAGTTTGGAAGGGCTGAGATCGGAGAGAGCGGCGGCGGGGGAAGGCGGAGAAGAATAGAATGGGTCGAAGGTTCTGGCGATGGACGGCGGGAGTTCTCGATAGGGCCCTTGGTGGAAGAGCGGGAGTCGAGAACGTTTCTTGACGGTGTTGAGGGTTTTGAGACAGCTTCGGATTGACATGATAATTAGGAACGTAGTGAAGTTGGTGTCGCCGTTCAGCCGCCGGGCGCCGGTGAAAGTGAAACTAATTATCGCCAATTGCAGTGATGATCGGAGCGGAGTCTCGCGAGTTTCATTTCATCGCCCCCAATCCACGAAGGGTTCCCCTAACGGCTTAGTTACAGAAATGGTCCCTTAACTTTGGCCGGGTAACAAATCAACCACTGGAGTTTATGTTTTGACAGATCAGTCACTGCAATGTAATGTGACTAACAAAATGGTACTTCCATAATCCATATGTCGACCTGACTGCCAAAATTGAAGGAAATAGCTAGGGTTCTTCGTCAACGATAACTCCGAGAGGGACATGCCTCCATCAAATATCTGCAACTGGTTTTCCAACTTACTATATCATAAGAGTCTAAAAGAGACATATATACTCTAATTGTGTTTTTTTTTTTGGGTTCAAATAAAAAGGTGTAGGAAAGGAGCTGTCAAACCTGTTTGTATCGTTCTGTCAGTTTAACAAGTGATATGATTCGACCGAAATACTGATAGATTTTGACTACCACCTCATACCGATGATATTCCAACCAGTTTACACACGCGCCAATTGAATTTATACCGAATGGTATACCACCAATTTAATAACAACCATGATCCAAACATTATCAATGATATGTCCCTCAAATCATGAGTTGAATGCAGCAGGAGGATCCAGGGGGCCGCCCTCGGGCCACGGTCCAGCCCTCCTCTGGATCCCGAGCTAGTATAGCACTTATAAATTTTTGATTTTTGGTATTCGTTTCATTGTTTGTCGTGTTACGGTCCAGGTCTCTCCACTTTTTTTCAATTGTGGTTCAGTGCTCTACCATCCAACCGCGCATGACTTCCACGTGAAGACCCCCATTCAGAGCATATGTTATACACTAATTGCTGGCCCAGCAAGAGGCCCAAAATCACTGCTCTTTGCCCTATCATTGTACTATCACATCGTACGTATATCTAGTCACCATATATCGTTTTTCCTTGATAAATGTAAGCACATGTTATGCAATAAGCTGGCATTATATCACAATCCCAAAGCATGCAGACGTTGTTATTTCTCAAGAGCTAATCAATTCATATTACATGTTGACTGATGAGAGAACCCTAGGCAAAACACCAGCAACAAATTTCGAATATTAAGCTCATATAAATTAGGGCTGGGAATCTGGTCCAGACCAGACCATATATACGGTCTATGGTCCAGACCGAGAGGCTGAACTATAGACCACAGACCAGACGGTCCGGTCCAGACCACGCCTGTGCGGTTTGATTCGGTCTGGTCTAGTCCAGATAGACCACAGTCAACGAAAAATGAACAATTTGTTTAGTCAACCACACACAAAATTGAACCAATAACCAAGAAATGTAAGCACATGTTATTACAATCCCAAAGCATGCAGACTTTGTTATTTCTCAAGAGCTAATGATCAATTCATATTTATGACGACTGATGAGAGAACCCTAGGCAAAACACCAGCAACAAATTTCGAATATTAAGCTCATATTAACGCCAAAACTCGAACATAAATATGGAACAAGTTACTTATTATGATCAGTTAAAAGACTTTTTTTTCTCCACAAAAAGGTCGGTCAATATCATAGTTGTAACACGCGGGACTTAGAATAGATAAATAGAAAATAGAGGGATCAGAAGAGACATTTGCCAAATGTATATAAATGTGACCTGTAACAACCTAACGGTCACTTGGACAATAATAATAACAACTTTTCCCTCTCACTTCTTTCTCTCTCTTCTTCCTACCTACCTTCCCTTTCTTCTTCTCCGACGCATTCCTCCGCCGAGAGCCTACGCCGGTCCAGAGCGTGACAAGTTGGTATCAGAGCCATCTCTCGGCCATGGCGACGACGGTGCGGCAGCTCGACGATCGCCTGAGCGCGTTTTCCACTAGGACGATGGAAGCAGAGTCTGCGTTTCACAATCAGATCACGACGCTGGAGGATCAGAATCGAGCTCAATCGACTCAACTGCAGGAAATCATGGCACGAACGGAAGGTCACTCACAACAATTTGCAGTGATTAACACTCGTCTGGAAGGAATGGAGGATCGTTCGGTCGCGCGATTTGCTCAAATGGATCAGAACATCCAGGAGATCATTCGTCGACTGGAGGTTCTTCATGTTCGGCCGGAGGCTGCTGCCGAACAGCAATTAGCTCGTCACGAGGGCCGGGGTCTCTTACCTCTGCCTGTTCAACGGCCAGGGGCGATTCCACCGATACAGCAGCGAGGCTTTGCTCAGAATCATCCGGATGCAGAGCAAGGTCAAGTTTTAGGTCATCAACGAGGTAATGATCAGATTCAGTTGCCTCGCATTGATTTCCCTCAGTTTCGGGGAGATAATCCTAGGGATTGGATCAGGAAGTGTGAGAAGTTATTCGACATTTACGCAATTCCTGATGAGCAGAAAGTGCGAATGGCTTCCATTTACTTTGATCGCCGTCCAGATATTTGGTTTGAAGGTTGGAAACTGGAGCACAGGGATTGGATTTGGGACGATTTTGTGCGGGATTTGTGTGGCAGGTTCGGTGATCGGGAATTTGGCAGCATCGTGGAGGAGTTCAATAAGCTTCGCCAGAGAGGTTCATTGGCCGATTACCAGGAGAAATTCGAGGAGTTAAAGTCGCAAATGGTTCGTTATAATCCAGCCTTGGGGGAGCAATATTTCATCTCCAGCTTTGTCAGTGGATTAGAGGAGGAACTTAGGCCGGTGATCAAGATGTGGCAGCCGGTAACTCTCGTTCATACATTTCAATTGGCACAGTTGGCAGAGACAGCAAATGAAGCTAATAGGCGGAAATGGCGACTTGGATTGGGCAGTGGCATGCGTTCAATGCCACCAGTGGGACAGGGTACTAACTCTGGTGCTAGAAAGTGGGAAGGGCCTAGCAGTCGCCCTAATATTGGCAAAACACAGGCTTCGACCAGTAACAAGCCTAACTATGCCAAAGGAGCCTGTTATAAGTGTGGAGACAAGTACTATTTTGGCCATGTATGTGATACTAAGAAGCAGCTGAATGTGATACAGGCTGAAGATGGAGAGATCTTGGCACCAGAGGACTGGAGTGTAGTGGACGAGGAGGACATGGATGAAGCCTTACCAGAAGAACAGCAGCCAGATGTTGTGGAGGTGTCAATGCAGGCCCTAAGCAGTGGGGGTCTATCCAATTCATTGATTGTTAAAGGCAAGGTAAAAAATGAGAGGATATTTGTGCTCATTGATACTGGCAGTACACATACCTTCTTGAGTGAGAAGAAGGCTAAGGATCTTAAGTGCAGGTTGGTTCAGGCAGAGACTCCATTGAGAGTTAGGTTGGCAGATGGGACTATTTTGTTGAGTAAGATGATCTGTAAGGATTTCAGCTGGGAGATGCAAGGTCACAAATTCATGTTTGATATGAGAGTCCTGAGTTTGGGCACGAATGATGTAGTTCTGGGGTTAGACTGGTTGAAACTTATTAGCCCAGTCAAGTTTGATTTCATTAATTTGCAGCTGTTCTTTGACTGGGAAGGGCAGGAGGTGTCCCTACAAGGAGTTCAGGACATGGCTCAATGTAAGGCCATCTCTGGCAAGACCTTACAGAGGATGATCAAGAAGACTAAGGCCACTCTGGTGGGCCATTTGTTCAGCATCTCTGTGGAGACTGCTAATGCAGGTAAGGTTCCTGAGTTCTTAGAATCAGTGGTGAATGAGTTTCAGGATGTATTTGGGAAGCCTAAGACCTTACCACCAGCTAGATCCTGTGACCACACTATCCCTCTTGTACCAAATGCTCAGCCTGTGAACCTTAGACCATATCGTTACTCAATTCCTCAGAAAAATGAAATGGATAGATTGGTGAAGGAGATGATGAATTCCCAGTACATTCAAGACAGTAGAAGTCCTTATGCATCACCTGTACTGTTGGTACTCAAGAAGGATGGATCATGGAGGTTCTGTGTGGATTATAGGCAGTTGAACTCTCTTACCATCAAGGATAAATTTCCAATTCCAGTCATTGATGATCTGCTGGATGAATTGAGGGGGTCCAAGTTCTTCACTAAACTGGATTTACTGTCAGGCTACCATCAGATCAGGATGCATCCTCAAGATCAGCACAAGACAGCATTTAGAACTCATCAGGGCCACTATGAGTTCAGGGTAATGCCCTTTGGGTTGACAAATGCCCCAGCCACCTTCCAGGCCCTTATGAATCAGATTTTTGCTCCACATCTGAGGAAGTTCATCCTGGTTTTCTTTGATGACATCTTGGTGTATAGCCCTGACCAAGCTAGTCATAAGGATCACCTGACTATCACATTGGGAATCCTCAGGTCCCATACCTTGTATGCTAAACCCTCAAAATGTTCATTTGGTCAAACCCAAGTGGATTACCTGGGTCACATCATCAACCAGGAGGGAGTGTCTACTGATCCTGGCAAGGTGGAAGCTATGGTGTCCTGGCCAGTTCCTCAGAATCTCAAAGCATTAAGAGGATTTTTGGGTCTTACAGGGTACTATAGGAAGTTTGTGAGGAATTATAGCATTCTGGCCAAGCCTCTAACAGACTTGTTGAGGAGGGACTGCTTCAAATGGTCTGCAGCAGCTCAGGGGGCTTTTGAAGTATTGAAGGCAGCTATGGTGCAGGCTCCAGTACTGGCTCTTCCAGATTTCAGTCAACCTTTTGTACTGGAGACAGATGCCAGTGATATTGGCATTGGAGCTGTGCTTTCTCAGGGAGGGAGACCACTGGCATACCACAGCCAGGCTTTGGGACCAAGGAAACAAGGCCTTTCCACATATGAGAAGGAGTACCATGCAGTCCTCATTGTTGTGACCAAATGGAGGCATTATCTGGAAGGGAACAGGTTTATCATTATCACTGATCATGAGAGCTTAAAACACTTGTTAGGCCAGAAGATCCATACTCAGATACAGAAGAAGGGATTAGTGAAGCTGCTGGGTTTGGACTTTGA